ACTGTCAGAGCATTTGTAGACTTATTTTAGATCACCACAATGGTTTTTTGGTAGATTTTTTTTTTTTTGACCTGTGAAAACATAACACTTGTGAATAGTAGTTTATATTCCAGCTGTGCTAATCTACACTATGTTAATATTGCACAGGATAGATCCTGGACCATGAACTTATTTTATCACTGAATGACAAATAAATGTATATGGTTTTAATGCTTTTATTTATTTATTTTTTATTTTAATGTATATTTATTTTTGAGACAGAGAGACACAGAGTATGAGCAGGGGAGGGGCAGAGAGAGAAGGAGACACAGAATCCAAAGCAGGCCCTAGGCTCTGAGCTGTCAGTACAGAGCCGGACGCAGGGCTCAAACCCATGAATCTTGAGATCATGACCAGAGCCAAAGTCGGACACTGAACCGACTGAGCCACCCAAGCGCCCCTGTGGTTTTAATGCATTTATTAATCCAGTTTTTAAACAAACATTGGTGTTCCGGGACCCTCTTCTCTTTTCATTCTTAGAAGGCCATCTCGTACAGAGCCATAGCTTCAAATACCTCTGTGCTATTGACGTAATAGATTTATATCTTCAATACCAAGTGTGTCCTTTAAGCTTCAGGACCAGGTGCCCATTAGACATTTCCCTTTGGGTAATCTCCAATGTCTAAAATTGAACCCTTGATCTCTTCCCCTCATTCCTTTCAAAATCCACTTGTCCTCATCTCAGTAATCGCTCATGCTGGAAGTGTAGAGATCTTCTTTGACTCCTCACTCTCCCTTACCCCCACATCTAATTCACTACTAAGCCCTACCAAGTCTGTTGGTGAAGTATCCACCCACTGTACCACCACCACCACCCAAATCTTAACCACCATTGTCTTTCTCCTGACTACTACACTGTCCTTACTGTTCTGTTAGCTTCTGCTTTTGTCCCCTCCAGTCCATTACATAGAAACCAGGTAATTGCCTTCCCATCCCACTTGGATTTAAAGCCCAGATCCTTCATCTGCCCTTGCCTGATCTGGTCCTTGTCTCTCTTGTTTCTTCAGACCCCTGTGCTACCAACTATCCCTTATTTTCACCATTTCAGAAATATAATTGTTCCATTGCTCCTTTCTGCCTCAAGATCTTTGCACAGGCTGTTCCTTATGCCTAGAATTCACCCCCATTTCTTTATCTGGCTAACTCTTTTATTCTCTAGATCTCACCTTGAATGTCACTTTTGAGCATGGCTTCCCTTAGTCTCTCCAGATGAGAATAAGTCCCTACCCCATTCCTCTCTAGGACCTGGCACTTTTCTTTCCTCACACTTACCACAAGTTATGATTACATATGCTTTGTACTGTCTTGTTCAGTGCCTGTCTTAATTGTCTTGTTTAATGACTATGAACTCCATGAAGGCTGGGTCCATTTTGCCCTCATCAGTATATTCTCAGTGTCTAATACAGAATCATGTATGTAATAGGTACTTAATAAATATTTAGGAAATAAGTTAATAGTCAGTGACAAGAACACCATTCCTGTGAGACTTCAGAGTTAGAAGGAACCCGATGAATCACTTACTTGGTGTAGTCTCCTTTCCAGCTTGTCTGTCCTTGACAGAGATGCATTCACACTTTGTTGCTTTGATATTCTGTGAGCAAAGACCACCCCCCCCACCCCCGCCTTCTTTGAGTTGTATCTCAAGTGTAGTTATTTCCCTATCCTTTGCATTCCTGTCATTCTTCTCTAAAGTGTTGAAGGGGCCTGATCAGGTGGAATAAAGTAAGGTGGTGACCCTCTTTGATTACAGCAGTGTGCTTCTAGCCCTGCTTGATAATATTGCCTTTATGTCTTAGCAGTTGTCATAAGTGCTGATGCATATTGAGCTGGTAGTCAGCTAAAACCCATTATTTTACTTTTAAAGATTAAGGCTTCCCATTGTTGGATTACAGCTGAGGCAATTGAAGCCATTTTACCTTTAGCCTTCCCTTGGCTGTTGGCTGTTCTCCATACAAGTTATTGCAGGGTTTTAGGCTATCAGAATTTCTTGAAGTTGGGAGTGGCATAGATCATACCTGTTACTTCCTGTGCCATGTATAAACCTGTATGAGGGGAGGAGACTTATTGACCACCTCTTCCATACCAGGCTTCATGATGTATAATTTACATTGTATAATGCACATAAAATATCCAGCAGGGCAGTCTAGGGTAGTAGGTAACACATGGACTCTGGAATCAGATCTCCTTGATTAGAATTGGAGCCCTGCCACTTACCAATTGTATGATCTTCGATAAATTTCTTAAACTCTGCTTGCCTCAGTTTCCTCAGCTGTGAAATTAAAATAATACTTGCACCTACCTGATAAGGTGGTTGTGATGATTTGATAAATTAATATTAATATATTCAAAGCATTTATAATGGTACTGGTACGTAATTAGAGGCGACTGTGTGTTAGCTATTACCTCATTTAGTTCTTAAAATAATTATGAGTTAATAATGTAATTTTAGTTTTACAGATAAAGTAACTCACCCAGAGAGGTTAGGTTACTTATTTTCGGCAGATCAGGATTCGAACTTGTGCCCACAGATAACAGTCACGGGTCTCATATTTATTTTCTATATTTGAAATCACACATAATTCCCTGCCTATGAAAGGGACTGAGAGTGGCAGGTGCTTAGAGCCTCACCGGCTGCTTTGCAAGGTGCCTTGGTTGTCCCTGTAGTGAGGCTAGACCACATACTATCTTTAAATAAATTGATGAGGAAAAACAGTAGCACTGAAATATGGAACCAGTCATAGCAGTCAGTGTCCTGTCCAAGACTGTGAGCTCCTTGAAGCAGAGATGGTCATATTCGTATTTGTATTCTAGTATCTTGCACTTGTCATAAGCTCAGAAAGTGCTGTTGGTGGGTGGGTAGGTGAGGGAGTGAGTGAATAAGTGAGTGAAAATATGGAGGCAGGAGAGCTAGTGCGAGAGGCAGAAGTGATGTCAGGGCTTTTGGCCTGGGTGACTGAAGAGATGGTGCCACCCTCTGTGATAACAAGTGGAGGAGGAGGAGGCAGGCCTAGAGGGTTGGAAGCAAAGTTAATACATTTGATTTAGACGCGTGGTGTGTAATCCTAGCAGAGACATTTAATAGGCAAATGGAAGTATGGAGAGAGATCATGGTTGGAGTTACACTGCAAACGTCTTTTGACTTTGAAACCTGAAACAAGCATCCCTAGAATCACAATTGTATAATTTCAAGAAGGGAGTTTTCCCAAGAAATGCAATTAAGTCACAGTGTAGATGTTGTTCTGTAATTATTTTACACTTTACACCCTACACTCTCAGCACTTCTGAAGATGGGAAGCAGTTTAATTTCATAGTAGAGAAGTGAGAAATGGCAGAGATTTTGGAAGTAAGCCATATGTAAAATACACAATATAATTGATACTCTGTAAACCTTACTTCCTCAATCCTGTCAGTGTCTTTGGAGAGCCAATTAAAGTGGAAAATTCTTAGGTTGATAAAATAGAAAGTTCAGGTTATTTATGGTAGAAATCACACCAGGAGTAATTGCATCATAAATAAAATATTTTTCATTCAGGAATAGTTTAGGCTGAAATCAGTAAAATCAAATTGCTGGAACCAATAGGATGGGAGGAAAAACAGAATTATATTCGTCTATAAACAAACTAGTGTGGCTTTTTTTGTTACCTATTTAACTATTTTATAATAACCAAACCTTAACTGGGGAGGTTATGTTTCACATCATCCATCCTAAAAACTCAATTTTAGGGGCGCCTGGGTGGCGCAGTCGGTTAAGCGTCCGACTTCAGCCAGGTCACGATCTCGCGGTCCATGAGTTCGAGCCCCGCGTCGGGCTCTGGGCTGATGGCTCAGAGCCTGGAGCCTGTTTCCGATTCTGTGTCTCCCTCTCTCTCTGCCCCTCCCCCGTTCATGCTCTGTCTCTCTCTGTCCCAAAAATAAATAAACGTTGAAAAAAAAAATTAAAAAAAAAAAACAAACTCAATTTTATACTAGTGAAGTCAGATTTGCAATATTTTAGGAAAATAATTTTAAGATATATTTCTGTTTTAATGATGACACACACTGCATATTTTAATATGTATGATTATCTTGGTAGGCTTTTTTTCTATAGAATGAGTTATTATAAAGATTTGAGGTGTTTTTGTCACATCTACTAGGATTTCAAAGATTATGATGAATAGCTTCGTGTTTTAAAGTTTTTATTTTTATTTGAGAGAGAGAGAGAGAGGGAGGAGGAGGGAGAGGGAGAGGGAAAGGGAGAGGGAGAGGGAAGGAGCATGTGTGCACAAGCACTTGTGCACAAGCCCACAAGCCGGGTAAGGGCAGAGACGGGGGACAGGATCTGAAGCAGGCTCTGCATGCACAGCAGAGAGCCCGATGTGTGGGGCTCAGACTCACGAACTGAACTGTGAGATCATGACTTAAGCCAAAGGCAGATGCTTAACCGACTAAGCCACCCAGGTGCCCCAATAGCTTCGTATTTTAAAGTTAAATTTTCCTGCTTTATTCTTAGTATATTTAGAAATGTTCTTGTTAGTAGTAAAACAATTACTTTAGAGCAGCCAGAAAAGACTATTGGGATTATTTAGTGTATTTATTTTATCTGTGGTTAATCTAAGATCAGGAATGGTGGCAACCTATTACTGAATTATTTAAGTTTCTGAACTACAGTGCCTTTTTACTGTTGTTGTTGTAAATAAAGATAGCTTTAATCTTTAAAAATGTATTTCATCATTTAAAGGTATGTTTGAGCATTTGTTTTTCTCTCTTAGTTTTGAAACTTTCCAGAATTCAGTTATATTCATTACCTTTTTTTAAATTTTTATCTTTCAGGAGTCAAGAGAAAGCAGTGGAAGTTGGAGTCATTGTCAAGTGATTGAGACCTTTTACAAGAAAATCTCTTTGAATAAGAGTAATTAAAATTAGCGACCTAACAAGACCAGTTATTAGAGGTCACAGTATACAGGAAACATTAAAACTGAACAATGACTCAGCTGTATATTTACATCAGATTATTGGGAGCCTATCTGTTCATCATTTCTTATGTTCAAGGTAAATCAGTGTTTTTTTAAGTAATCTTATATTTTTTAGTAATTTATTTCTATATTTGAAACACTCATTCTTGCAATTGATCTTTCAACTGATGTCCCGTTTTGAACAGTTAGGCTAATATGCCAGCATAGCTTTTAAATAAAGAGGCAAAGAGTGAGGCACAGAACAAATACATGCCAGGTAATTTTGAACTTGACTGTGATAGAAACATTTTCAAGTATTTGTAAAATCTTAGCTTCTCAGAACCTATTCTCTTATCCGTAACATAGGTATTATAATGTGCAATATTAAGTCTTGTGAGGATTAAATGAGATAAAGTATAAAATAAAGTATCTGACCTAGTAAGACTAAGACACAGTAGTAGAAACTGAAGACTTAATTTTTCAAATTCCTGTCCTCTTTAAAATACAATAAGGGATAAATGTAAATAATTAAAAAAATCATTTTGTCATTAAAAATCTTCAGAATGGTAAGTTGCACTTGCGTGTGCTAATACTAAAGTTTTTTCATAGAATACTCAAAGTTTTACTTACTAACAACATTGTAATTTTGTGTTCACTGCTTGTAACTCCCAAACAGGAAATTATTGTCATGACTCTGCGGGTCATATGGGCTATATTTGCACGTGGGCTTTTTCCTGTATGGTTTAATTAGGACATTATTCCATACTGAAGAGATAGTACTACTTTGCAAAAGGGTTTTAGAGTAAAGTTATTAGGCATCTTCATTTAAGTTTATGTCTTCACAGATCGTTTTTTCATAATGTTTCTTCATTCACAGCGACAAAGGTTAATATCTACCAACAAGAGATACTATTAAGAGCACAATTTTTTTTTTAACATTTTCGTTTTAAAGAGTGAACATAAAAATAAAATCTAGAGCTTCTCCATATTTTGTCATAGGTGTAATTAATATCCTTATTATTTTCTTGCTCAGAACACAGCCCACTTCCAAAAGCCACTTTTTTATGTGTGAAATACCAAATTATTTAATAAAACACCTTTATTTTAACAGCTCTTGTTGTATGTCTTGTTGATCAGCATTAACCAAAGTGTCATAGTTTTGAAGATGAGTTAAATTAATAATAACATTTCCTACCTTACCCCCAGGTAATCAGTATTTGATGTTAAATTTTCTAAAAATCTATATAGATCACACAGGCAATATGATACAAAATTCTTTCCCTACCCTGATTCAAGTTGCTCTATAATAAACTTTCATTAGATGAAATAAATTGATATTTAGTTATCAGGCATAAATAAAAAAATCTCTAAGAATTATATCTCTGTGATGAAGAGCAAAATTTGTTACATTTCCTTTCAAAAAGATTAGTTTGATAGTTGGTTCCAATGATAAGATAAAGGGATGCCTGGGTGGCTCGGTCATTTAAGCATGGGACTCTTGATTTCAGCTCAGGTCTTCATCTCACGGTTTGTGAAATCAAGCCCTGTGTTGGGCTCTGTGCTGACAGTGCGGAGCCTGCTTGGGATTCTCTGTCTCCCTCTCACTATCCTTCTTTCTCTGTCTCAAAATGAATAAATAAACATTTAAAAAAATGTTCAATAAATTGCAGTATAAAAAAATGATAAGATAAAAATATTTAGTCTTGGGGCGCCTGGTGGTGCAGTTGGTTAAGTGTCGGACTTCAGCTCAGGTAGTGATCTCGTGGTTCATAAGTCCAAGCCCTGCATCGACAGCATGACAGCATCTCTGCTCCTCTCCGACTCACATTTTTTCTCTCTCTCTCTCTCAAAAATAAACATAAAAAAACTTTAGTCTTAAAAGAACTAAACCAACATAGAAGAAAATGTTATTTCTTAGAGGATTATTTCTAATGCTATTTCTAAGAAGGATTGCAGAGTGGTTATTAGTGGAAATTACTTTTGACTTGGGCGTCAGTTGTGTTTTAGGAAAGTAAATTTCTCCATATGTTGGTTTTCTTGTTATAAAATAGAACCAGTAACACATATCCTAGATGTAAACAGGAATTTTTTGAACATTAAATGTTATGATTAAGATTAAAGTGCTTTACGTTGCGATTAAGTTACTCAAGTTGGAACAGAAGAATGAGTCACTTGATATTAACATCTAATAGCTATTCAGTCCTTGTTTTTGGCTTGGTCACACATTTTAGAAATGGATTTTAGCTTTAAGTAACTGATTACTCCACAAACAGTGACTTGAACAAATAATTTTTGATGTAGGTGGTAGGTATTTCCTGGTGTTCATTCAGTAGTTCAGTGGTGTCAAGTTTGACATCTATAATTTTCTTGGCTTCTCCTTAATGGTTATAAAATGGCTTCTGTACCTACACTGGAGGAAGGAAAAATGGGGAAAGGTTCAGCGCTGACCTCAACTGGACATTACTTCAGGAAAGCAAACTGTCCCCAGAAACTAACCTTCTGCTGGCAGATTTTATCTTGTTTTGTTGGATAAACTGAGACAGTTGCTAAGGCTACTAGAAAACTGAGAGACAGGACTGACTGTCATAGTCAGCTCAGATTCATCTCAGTCCATTGCCTCCCAAGACCAGAGTTTGGTCAGCTGAGAAGACAGGGAAAATAGATATCCTTTGGACAACTAAAAGAGTCTGGGACAGATTTTATCTCTTCTGTCATTTAAGATGTTTTCAGTCTTAGGTTACAAACAAAACAATTCAAAATAGCTTAAACAATAAGGAAAATGTCGTATCACAAAACGAGAAGTCTGAAGGTAGGGCAACTTCGGTAAGTTAATTCTGTGGCTCATCACATTCTTTCTCTATTTCAACAGTGTTGTACTCTGTACCACCTATTAATTTAGTCCTGGGTTAACTTACTTCATGGCCACAGGTGGCTACTGTGGAGCCAGAGGTCACAGGCAGATGTGGCAAATTTGGGTTGACAACATTAAGTAGAAGAGGAGTGGATGTCTCTCATGGCTCTTTTTTTGTTGTTGTTGAAGTTTACTTATTTATTTTGAGAGAGAGCAAGCGAGCGTGAGCAGGGAAGGAGCAAAAAGAGAGAAAGAGAGAATCCCAAGCAGACTCCACACTGTCGGCGCACAGTACAATGCGGGGCTTGATCTCATGAACCATGAGATCATGACCTGAGCCGAAATCAAGAGTTGGACACTTAACCAACTGAGCCACCCAGGCACCCTCCTCATGGCTCTTTTTAATTGGTAAAGAAATCTTTCCTCAGACACCTTTCCCCTTCCCTTCCCTTCCCTTC